ACAATTGCATTGCATCTCTCCCATTGTTCACACAGATTTTCACGAAACTTCTCTTTTTTCCATGTTCCTTCTACCAACCCTAGCTTATTTCTTCATCGCAAAGCTATCCTCATAAATCGATTCTATATAGTATAGTTATCAGTGCCTGTTAGTTGAAATGAGATCAATTGAGTTCCACTCGTATCAGTAGGTCCAAGGTACAATGAGTGATAATGAGGCAAATCGACTCCAAATTCCTCGTTAGCTTGAGTATTACCAACACCTGCATCTACATCTGCGGCGACATTTGTCGTAATGTTTTCAAAAATGTCTCCCATGACTACTCTACAATTAGGAGTGTGGATCGATAAACGAGACCAAATATTCCTAGTCTAATTTCTCTAATACCATGTTAAATCTATGGGTCGAGAGGAGCAAACCCTAGCTAGAAGAGAGGGAAGAAGAAGATGAGTTGAAGAAGAGGAAATAAGAAATGATATTATGTTATTAACCACCTAACACTGTACAAACAACCATATTTATACAATTCATTAACTAATATTTAACCTCTAACTAACTAATATTAAATAGTCTAAACTACCCCTAATCCGGTAATACAACATTAAGTCACCTCTTTCATAATAATCCATTAGGTTGAAGTTTCTTTTTGTAACGACCCGACCGGTTGTTTCGAGCATTTGCACTTCGCTCGGTAGTTTGAGATCATGAGTAGCTCCGTATGATGTATTATGACTCGTGTGAATCGTCAGTTTTGGTTTTTAGGTTATTCAGAATCGATTTGGAAGAATAAATTTTATAATTGAAGCTTTAAGTTGGAAGAGGTGATTAAGTTTGACTTTTGTGAATTTGACCCCGAAACGAAGTTTTGATGGTTCTATTAGGCCCGGATGTTGATTTTGGACTCGGGCATATGCCCGGATTTGCATTTGGATATTTCTAGAAGGATTCGGCACTAATTGGCGAGAATTCTAAATTTGAAGGATTGGAAAGTTCATAAGTTAGACCGAGAAGGATTCATATTGTGGTTCCGGAAATTTGAGTACCTTCGTTATGTCATTTGGGACTTGCATGCAAAATTTGAGTTCTTTCCGAGTTGATTTGATATGTTTCGGCACAAGTTTTGGAAGTTGAAAGTTCTAAGTTCATTACTTTTGATTTGAGGTGCGATTCATCGTTATGTTGTTATGCGTGATTTGAGGCCTCGAGTAGGTTCGCGTTATGTTATTGGACTAGATGGTATATTCGGACAGGGTCCCGAGTGGCTCGGAAGAGTTTCGGGCGAGGTTCGGATCATTTGGATCAATTTTGGCTAAGGCTGATGATGGCAGGAACTGGTGTGATCGCACGTGCGGCTGGTTTCCCGCAGGTGCAATGGTCACAGAAGAGACAAAGGATTCGCAGATGCAAGGTGAGACCTGGGCGAGGAAGATCGCAGAAGCGGAATTAAGGGCGCATATGTGCGTCCGCAGAAGCGTAAGTCTAGCCGCAGAAGCGACGTGTGGCGCAAAAGCGTGAGTTGGTTGGCGCACCTGCGTGTGCGCAGAAGCGGGAAAACTCCACAGGTGCAGAAGGGCTGGTCTTTACAGGACTTCGCATAAGCGATATTTTACCGCAGATGCGACAATGTGATTGCATATGTGGAAATGCTGGGCAGAACTATATTTTCGAAGTCTTGGTTCTTATTTCACATTTTGGGATTTTGGAGCTCGGTTTGGGCGACTTTAGAGAGGAAATTCACCATGTGACTTGGGAAGCATTCTTGACTCACTTGTGATTATATTTCGTGATTCTATCTTCATTTTTGGTATTTGGATTATGATTTTTAAAAAGAAATTGGGGGTTTTAGCCTAAAGTTTTATAGAGTGAGTTTTTGAGTTTTGAATATCGATTCGGAGTCGAATTTGGGTAAAACTAAGTATGGTTGGACTCGTAATTGAATGAGTTATCGAATTTTGTGAGTTTTGTCGGGTTCCAAGGTGCGGGCCAGGGTTGGACTTTTGGGCTGATTTTGGGCTTTTGGTCAAAGATTCAACCTTTATCGATTGAGTTTGTTTCCTTTGGCATTATTTGATGTATTTGGGTTGCTTTTGGCTAGTTTCGAGCTGTTCGGAGGTCGGTACGCGCAGGATGATATTTTTGGAACATCGCTTGGCTTGCTCGGTATTGGATTTGGCTTGTTTGAGGTAAGTAACAATTCTAAACTTGGTGCTGAGGGTATGAAACCCTGAATTACGTATTATGTGATTGATGTTGAGGTGACGCGCATGCTAGGTGACGGGTGTGCACCATGTTAATTGTGATTTAGTCGATTCCATGGAACTGTGTAGCTATCTTATCTGAACATTTTTACTGTACAATGTGTTAGAGCACTTGAGCTGAAATTTATGTTAGAAATCATGTTTAAGCTATATGCTGACACTATTGGGACCCACATTGGTTGTTCTTCGTATCATTGATTAGGGCTGCTTAGTATGAGCGTTGTGAGCCCGAGAGACTGGAGAGATTGGTGACACTCATGCTGTGAGTATTATATATATATATATATATGTGTGTGTGTGTGTGTGCGCGCGCATGTGGGGGGATCAGGTTGCACACCGCAGCAAGCCTTATGGCTATATATATGTGGATCAGGTTGCATGCCGCAACAAGCTTTATGGCTATATATATATGGATCGGGTGACACGCTGCAACAAGCCTTATGGCTATATATATGTGGATCGGGTTGCACGCCGCAACACGCCTTATGGCTATATATATGTGGATCGGGTTGCACGCCGCAACACGCCTTATGGCTATATATATGTGGATCGGGTTGCACGCCGCAATAAGCTTTATGGCTATATATATGTGGATCGGGTTGCACGCCTCAGCAGGCCTTATGGCTATATGTGGATCGGGTTGCACGCCTCAGCAGGCCTTATGGCTATATGTGGATCGGGTTGCACGTTGTAGCAAGTATTGTACAGTACTGAGTGACTGTGTGCTGAGTATTGAGCATGATGAGTGAGAATACGAAACAGTGAGATTGAGTACTCTGAGAGTGTGAGTACATGAGTTCATCATTGAGATGCATTGCATTTGACATGCGTACTTGAGATAAAGACATAGAGATGCATTTCCTCATGCTACCCGGTTTTGGTGACATTCATGATTTCACCTGTATATTGACATGTAGGCATAGAGATGTATTTTTCCTCATGCTATCTGAAAAATGAAACATCTTATTTATTGTTGAAAGATTTTTGGAAAAATCACTATTTTCAAACTTAATCATATACTTTTGAGGTTTTTGATGAAAGGTCTCGGATCTACTGTTATACTTGAAAAGCATGCCTATTTTCCGTTAATGTGAACCATCTGAATTATTTCTTGTACCATCTTTATCATATTGTTATGAACTGTTGTTGGTTATTGGAGTTGGACCCTGACTCTTGTCCCAACTCGTCACTACTTTCAACTAAGGCTAGGTTTGTTACTTATTGAGTACATGAGGTCGGTTGTACTCATACTACACTTCTGCACCTTACGTGCAGATGTTGGATGTTGATGTTGCTGTGCACGATAGAAGCTGGATTTGAAGATGTACTTGCGTTCCGGTCATAGCTGCCTCGTGATCTTGGTATCTTTAGAATTTTAATTTGTTCCTGTATAGTTCAAACAGATGATGTACTTTATTTCATACCAGCTTTGTAAATTCTAAATCTTAAAAGCTCATGATTTGCACTACCAGTCCTTGGAAAATTCTTTGTATAATAAGTTCAGTTGTATTATCATTTCTTCTCTTAATAAATATCACTTGAACTGGTTTATTGTTAACTGACTTACCTAACGGGTTGAGTTAGATGCCATCACGACGGTTTGGATTCTGGGTCGCGACACTTTTCACACTAGCTTTTGTTTTGTTAGTATTTTGTAAGATACTATATGAGCTTTTTCAGAATCTACACATGGAACATGATACTCAGAGAGATATACTGAATCTAATAAGAGACTCAACTTGTTTAAGTAAGGAGCAGTTCTTTGTTTCTGAAGGGGAAGGAACATTAGTTTTATAACGAAAAGTTGTAATTTAATAATTAGAAGTAATAAAAGACTTAAGCTTTTTATTAGCTTCAATGAGGTTGCAATCAATCAACTTAATTACCACCAAACTCATAGCTTGTTTTAGTTCTTGGTTAGCAATTAAATTTATACTAATAAATGTTTGAATACAAATACATCATCTAAGCAAAAGCTTATAAGTTTGTTAGAGCTCGTACTTAATATTCTAGCTCTGCCCTATTTCCGATTGCTATCTTGGAGCCCTACGTGAGTATTGGCAAGCACAAGTGTCATTGTCATTTGGCTGGGAAGATAGAGATTTGGGAATTTGGCAGGGAGTTATACGTATCAGTCCTAAATAATGAGTTAGATATTGGTGTCATTCATGAGAATAATGAGTTAGATATTGGTGCCACTCATGTCCTCTGAGTTCTCTCCTTGTGGAAAAGCTCTAATAGGGAAGGAAGGTTCATTATACTTATAATTTTAATGCACTTCTAGTTCTTCCCAAATGTTTCAACTTCAGTAAATTTTGAATTGAATTGAAGTTGAAGAGAAAAGTACTTAAAATTAAGGAGTAAATAAAAGTTATCTAGGAGCAAAAGATTTTAAGAAGGCAAATTTGTGCAGTAATACTTTTCACCCTTCCCTCTTAGTAGCTCCACCCGTCTCTAATAACTTGCAATATCCCAGGAAATTTTATACTTTTGGAACTTCTGCTATCACTCTAGGCTGGTGCTTCCCTAGGAATATCAAGTCACTAATACAACTTGATCAAGCTCATTTGATATACAAATGTCTCAAGATACTTTTAGCCATAATATCACCCCAAGCATCTGATTGATCTCATTATTTTTGTGTTAGACCCATAATGCACGAGCAACATCCATCTTACAGAAATTCAAAGCACGGTAAGAGGAAAAATATGGGGAAGACTGAATATTTATCAAAAGCAAAAATAAGGAAAAAGAAAGATAATCACAGTTGTTACATATTTTTTTAAACATCTTTACATGATATGCTGCATGGTTACTGTAAAACAGGTATAACTGTTTGAAGGAGTTGCAATCACAAGCTACAACTATAAGGAGAATGAAGAATATAGACCCCTTCAGGCTGTCATTTTATATCAGTCCAGAGTAGGAAAAAATAGTCAAAAGCAACAAGTGCTCACTATGCAACTTATGTTATACAGACTAGAAATGATGATTACAATGAAAACCATAAAACTAAACATGGAAAAATTCAATCAGATAATTCAGGGGACTGAATCATGATACCCAAACTAAACATCCCCTTCACTAATGCAGATATTATGGCCAGAAAGTGTGGGGAATATTATAAGGACAAAGGGGAATCTGAATTTAAACTTCGTGTTGCTTTTGGAATGTTTCTACACTTGTAATTGTTAAGTGTAGTTCCTTTCTCGGTTTAGCTATTTATCTATTTCCGTCTGTGTTATAAGGGTATTTCATCATTTTATGTTTAAAAGGTGTATTTTTAATATTTTTGTATTTTTTGAAAAGATGTTTAAAGGTGATTTATGTCTTTCTGTCTTCTGTATATCTCCAATTTGTGGTATCTTTGAAACTTGGGCAGCAAGCCAAGTGTAACAAGCTAAGAGCCTTGCAAACGCATTAGGAGACTTGGACAGCAAGTCAAGAGTCTTTGGCAGCAAAAGACGGCTAACAAATTGCTCAGAAGAATCTGCGAACGGGCATCTGGAGAGCCTTCCCTCCAAGCTGTCGTCCTACTTGGTTATGCAGATGTATCCTTATAAGCATTTGAAAAAATTAGGATGAAGAATGTTCTTAGTTACTGTACTTTCTCATATCTGTACAACCTCAAAACATCACTATTTCTTATCTCCCATATTAGCCGCATCTCATCCCCCGCTTCCACCAGTTTGGGAGCCTAAAAAACCGATTCTCTATGTTAAACCTTTTTCTTTTTGTATGATCTAGCCTCATTGTTCTGAAACTGCTTTCAATTATTAGTTTTTTCAACGGATTGAAGGTTTATTAGATAAGCATCAGGATGAATAACCCAGTAAGAAACTCTAAACACTTTCTATCTATTCATATCTGATGATTAGAAATGACCAATACCTTTAATAAGTTGTAGAGCAAGAACTGCAAGCAATAAAGAGAGTACAAAAGAGAACAGCAGGAAAACCTGCAGAACAAGAGGTAAAAACATAAACTACACAATGTAAAAGAGAAAAAGAAAAAACAGGAAGAAAAGACAATGAAAACAGTATCTACTGTGGCTATTATTATTTGCCTAGTAGTTGATTCAACACCTGCAGCTTGTATTATTTTTCCATTAGCTAATTTAGGAAGTTGAAGATAGTACTGTCCCAATAACTTATCCAAAAAAAAAAAAAAACTACTACCCCAATAAGCACTTACAGAATATTTGTTCGAACCGATTTGCCTCTCAAAGACACGGAAGTAGTATAGCAGATATAATCCAAATAATAGTTCAGGAGTAGATGAAAAGGTAAAAACAGATATGATCAGCTTCCAGATTTGAAGCTTCTATAAAAAATATTCTGGCACAAGCAAAAATAGATGCATCAATTAGCATATCTAATATACTCTTTAAGGTATCCACTAAGAGCATGCCCGAACTCCTACTGAAACAATGAGATTATACCTAATAAGACAGTAAGAGAGAACAAATCTGCTACTCCCTCCGTTTCAATATATGTCTCTTACTTTCCGTTTTAGTCTGTCATAAAAAGAAACCCTCTTTCTATATACAGTAACCTAAGTTGCTCCGACACGGCAGTTTAGGTGCCGTACCCGTGTCGACACGACACTAGTATGGGTGTGGGTGGGATCCGTACCGGATTTGGTCAAACAATTTTTGGTACTTTGACCGCGACGGACGGGAAAATTCGAGATGAGATACAATTTGATTCTCGAAATCAGAACCAAAACTAGGGTAAATTTGAAGAAAATAGCATAGCTATCTAGGAAATCAATGCTTCAAGTTAGAGAATAAAAAAGAAATCCACACTTTACAAGCTATACATAAGTATTCCACAAAATTTCTCACAATTTAGATATATTTTTATATTTTTATATTTTTGAATTATTTTTAACCGGATCCCCGCACCCGTATCCATACTAGGATCCTTGTCACCAAATCTTAGAATTTACATCTCGAAAGGTCCGACCTCTAGATCCGCACCCGTGTCCGAGCAACTTAGACAGTAACTCTTTTACTCCAACTTTCCACATGGCATATTTAAGATCACAAGATTCAAGAACATTTTTGGTACATTATATACATCTTTAGTTTAAGAGCATAAGATTTAAAAGCCGTCCTTACTTTCTTAAACTATGTGCCCAGTCAAACTAAAACACATAAACTGAAAAGGGAGGAGTATAATACAAAAATGTAAACTAGGAGAAAAGAGAATCCTATATTCTGCAAAATTTCAAACTCATAATTGATGAGCTGAGATGAAATAAGTACTACGTTAAAAGAGAATCCTATATTTCTTAAGTTCCAAAACTCATAAGAGATGAGCTATAAAATGAAAATATATACTAGAACCTTTTTCCCTTAAGTTTCCGGAACTCATAGATGGAGTTGGATGCTTCTAAAACCATTAGTTGTTCATATCCCTTCAGATTCGGATGTTTGGAGTAACATAGGATACGACCATATACGATCTAGTATTGCTATTGGACGATCGGTAAAGAGTATTAGGCGATTAGCAACCCTATCAGGAAACCATATAAAATCTGCATTACTATTGGATAACATAGCTTGTCGGTGTCATAATCACAAACGAATTGTGGTTGCATTAACACCACCTTACATGGTACAAATAAAACCACTTGATATCAATGTTACATGTATTCTTTTCAAGTGGATAAGACATTGGTATGACCACTTTTAAGGACCCCTCGAAAGACATTAAAAGGCTACTAAAAATTGAATGTGATCTTGTTAGATCCATAGACAAACCTGTACTCAAGCTTGATCAATTGACGTAGTCTAATACATGTGGACTCAAAATTAGCAAGTTGTATCTGCTAATTGTGCTTAGTCAAGGTCTACCCTCTACTATCAAGTTGGGCGAAGGAGTTTATGTTCATAAACAAGCCATTTATCTTATCCAGGGACTAAACCGTAGTAGCTTCATGTAGTGACAAACGTCACAAACCCATCTCAAGTTCGAGAAATATAGAATATAACCTATTTCATCATGGCCTCACACGTAAATATTGGTGAATGGAAAATGACCGGAAATGTTGTTAACATAAGCATTCATGACCTGATGAGCAAACAGGGTGCACTTGTATGCTCTTAGACATTAAAAGTCGGCAACAACCACAAAATTACTCAACCTCCCTTCCCTCTCCCCCTCTCAAAAAAAAGAAAGTATGCGTACACCTTAAACAACTAATCAGCAGCATCCACTAGGCTTATAATTGGACAAAGGTCAAACCTAGAAAACTCCTTTCATGAACACAAGATCAAATCAGACGTGTTCTCATTTCAAACACAAATTTATGAGATCTCCAAGACCAATTGCAGTTATGCACTAAAAAAAAGTAAAACATATTGGGTGTACACTATAGATGTGTTCATTTCCATCTGGTTTTTGAGAGTTTTTTTTATGACGGTGGCGTTCGGGTCAGTTTGCGCGCACCTAGACTAATTCCATGAGGTGCCTGCTATCTCCAACCAATACAGATAGCGGGTAATTTTATTCATCAAGGCTTAGACAGTTGCGAAGAAATCACCTAGTGTTTTATGTCTCCATTGAGATTTGAATCTTCATTGATCACTAGGCCACACCTTTGGGTCAATATGCACTAAAGATCCGATCTTTATATTCTTCTTCCACAGTTCTAGAAACCCTAAAACTTAATTCAACTCAATACTTATCCCCATTCAGTAAAATTACACAGAAAAAAAACAAGACCTAATTCACAGTACTAGAAAAATTATCAAAACGAAAAAGGATCGAAATTAAGAGAAACCCAGAAAGCAAAAAGTACCTGATAAGACCAACCCAGCTGATTTGCACGGCCTTGGGTACCAAATATGATGGTGAAGAGGGTACAGGCAATTACTAATGCCCTTGTCACTGGCGCATTGTCTATTGTCAAAATTACAACATCAAAGTGAAAATTAGAATTAGAAATCAATTGCTATAATTCATGCATCAAAATAAAGTGTATATAGATAGAAATTGATGAGGGATTAAGACGTACTGAAACCAGATGGGCCCACGTTCATTTTTGCAGCGATTACAACGAGTTTTTGCCCTTTACTATTTTACCACTTTGGCTAAGTCCTGCCTCTTCTGACTTCTCAGCGAGATCAATTTTTCGCAAGTCAGAAACAAACAAGTTTGTTGGAAAACAATTGGTCTCTATTTAAAAACCAAACTGTTTTCCTAATCCCTTTCCCAAACTAGATGTTTAAAGGGGACTAACGCCTCATTTGTTTGCACTTATTGGAGATATTAATCTCAATCATTCATATCAGATATTAACTACTTAATTCACAATCACTTAATGGGCCTGAATAGGTCTGTATGATTAAAATCTATAACAGAAACTTAATTTCATTAAGATGCTATCACATATTCATTATTAACTGCCGTCACCGGCTACCATTATCAACTACCACCATGACGCCACCACCACCATACTCAACCACCACCACCACCACACCATCATCCTCAATCATAGCCGCCACCATTATCGACCATCACCACTCACTATCCCCACCACTCCGACCACCATCATTCTCACCCACAATCAACACTCATCCACCTCAACTACCACAACTAACTACCCCATAACCATCAACAACCACAGCCGTCACCGCCCATCATTATAACCTACCACCACCCGCCCACCACCTTCCTCAATCACAATTACTACCACCACCCGTCATTATTAACTATCACCACCCACCACCATCATCCTCAATCATAATTGCCACCACTACCAATCACTACTAGCTACTCATGAACCACCATTAGCAACCAAAACTACCATCAACCACCGCCTCTAGTCGGCATTCACTCGTTAGCCATCATCACCAACAACTATCATATTTTTAAAAACTGTATATTTTATTGATAGAATATTAGATTAGTTAGTATTTCATTTGAATTTTATGTTTATTAATTTTCAAATAAAGATAAATTTTATACATTCAGATGTTAAAAATCAAACAGTCTTAATTTTAGTATTCAGATCTTAATACACATCTTAATATATTCAGATGTGTATTCAGATTAAGATGTCTTAATCTTAATACACATCTTGATATTCAGATGTGTATTCAGATTCAGACGTCTTAATCTTAAAAAAAATAAATGAGGCCTAATACGGTGTTTTAAAGTTGTTTAAATCCTTGTTTTTCCCCAATTTATTTTAAGACCGTCGTTTACTTTTTTAACAAAACAATATAAATACAAATAATAGACCTCTCTATAACAGTATTTTTATAAAACAATCATTCACTAGAAAAACTATATTTTTTTAATTAATTTTTTATTTTGTAACGGCAACAAACATCTTTCTAGCATTAGAATTCCAAAAATTACCGATAAAATAAGCTTAAAGATCTTAATTTGATCAAATTTTTGAAACTTTAAAGGTCGTTTGGTTGGGAAACAAGTTATCCCATGATTATTATCTCGGGATTGTTATTCCACCCTCACATAAGAATAAAAATAACATTACAATTTCGAGACAACTAATCCCGAGATTAGTTATACCGCAATTTTATTCGAATCAAACGTGAGATAAATTCATTTTAAATTTAATTTCGGGATAAATTATCCCTTATACCTCGCACTAACAAGCCCTTAGTGCGTCACTTGCAACAAAAAATATTATGTTAGTGCATCCTTTTATAATTAAAGGCTGAATTTAATTCAATTAATAGATATGTTTGTATATTTTCATTTCATTGCACAAAAGATTCTATCTAGCATAATGTATAATATTTGAAGATCCGCATATATAATCTTTTCTATTGAACAAAATTTCCATCTTGTATAATGCTTAAGATTCGAGACTTGTACATATCTTTTCCATGGCTCGTTCATTAATTTTAAATGAATTTAATTTTCTTGAAGCTTTAGAATATGTGCATTAGAGTTTCAATATTTATACATTTTGTTATGAATTTATTAATAACATATTAGTTTTCTTTAATATTTAACTAATAAAATATGCATATCTTTTGAGATTTTTAATTTGAATAATTTTTATTTTTTATATGTAACATTAAAAAAGGAAAAGGAAAGAAATTTTGATTATTTTGTTCATAACAGCCAGAAAATATTTAAATGTCGAATGTTGTTATAAGTGTATAACAGTCATTCACTATAAAAACTTAAAAAATCGTAACAAAATAATGATATTATACAGAAATTTGACTGAGTGTGAAAATCAAGCTACAAAAATATGTGATAAATTATAATATAATTTCTATTTCTTAAGTTAGATTTCAAATCAAGATACTTGTTTATTCTGTAATATTTTCATCATTCCATTTTTATGGTCGCACAACTATCCACTTAACAAATGCAACTCGTTATATGCAGGCGCATAGCTATGTAGAGCCAAGGATTCAATTGAATCTCATTTCAGAAAATTACAATATACAAATAGGGGAGTCGATGGTCTATTGGAAACAGTCTCTCTATCCTTACAAAGTAGGGGTAAGGTCTGCATACACACTACCCTTTCCTAGACCTCACGGTGTGGGATAATACTGGATATATTGTTGTTGTTGTTGTTGTATAATATACAAATAGGACAAAATTGGTTTTTGGTTATATATAGATTATTAAAATTCTTTAACATTAGGAAAGATTTTAATAAAATGACAATGATGATTCAAAATTTGGTTTAGATCACAAGTTTAAATTCATGTAGTATTTTTTTTATTCCCCTTAAGTTCTGGTTCCACCACTGCTCATATGTTCAACTTTCTTCCGCATTAAATTAATGTCAAAGTCTGAAAAAGAATTAAGGAAAGTGCTAACTACCCAGTTATTGTTAATTATATACTCTCTTTGTCTCAAATTATCTGTCATAATTTCTAAAAAATAATTATCTCAAATTATTTGTCATTTTAGAAGCTCAAGACAAACTTAATTGTCTTTTCCTATTTTACCCTTAGTAGTAATTGTTCTTGAAGACTACAAACACTTAAATTATGTTATAATATTATGATGATTTAAATACCAATAAGACATAAATAAGGATAAAATAGTCAAATATATCTCTTAATTATTATATTTTCTTAAGGGACGTGTAAAATAATTAGGTATTTTACTGTCTCAACATGCTTCTTGCAATTTAAGAATTTTATCAAATTACTGAGTTGTATTTACTTGTTTGCTCATAATCCCTACACATCTCAAGTGTGGTAAGGTGCTTGTCAAATTAAATACTCCTTACTCCCGGACAAAGTGAAACTACTTACTATTCAATATCTAAAATATTTTTCATTCATTTTTCTAAATATTTCTACTATAAAAGTATGTGGTCTATTTAACGGAATAATACCTCAATTCTCTTAAAATTTGTATTATCAGCTCTAAGTGATGGATTTATAGCTGATATAAATCGTTAGTTGTCATAATCGCTCGGCAGATGAAGCATTTTTATCTCAATTTACAGAAACATGAAGAGTAACGATATAAAGTAACAAGCTTTACCATATTACATAATGGGCCAAAAAATAATGGGCTAGAATTGGGTAGGGGCCGCGCGAACGCAGGCCCACACTATCACAAATTATGACGTAGGCTCGACCACTTGAGTCGACCTTAGGCGGGCACCCCTCCTTAAGTGCAATGGAGGTCACCAACCTAGGCCATGGGCCTTATTGATCGCCCATTGACCCCGTCCAGGTAAGTATGTTTCTCTGTGCTCTCAGCCCATTTCTTATACTAAGCCTTTCGCTTCCCTTTGCCTTCAAACTACCGATGTGGGAGCAATCACTCACAATGAAGCTGCCATTCTTTTGGCTTTCTTTTGAAATTAAAAATTAGACTATATTTTTTTTGAATACAAAAACAATAATAAATAATAATAATAATGATTAGGGAAAAGGCCCAAAAATGAACTTGTGGTATTCGAAATGGATCAATTATAACCCCCGTTTAAATTTGAATCCAAAAATGACCCTGCCGTTATAAAATAGGTCTAATAATGCCCTTGTGTTATTCAAAATGGATCAATAATGCCCTGGAATTTTATTTTTTTTAAAATACTTTTAAAAACTGAAAAATATATATTCTGTAAAAACTAAAAAAAAAAGAAATTTGCAAAATATATATTTTTAAGTCTTTTCAATTTTTTAAAGTATTTGTTTTGTAAAACTGGAAAAAAAAAATTAAAAAAACTGGAAATTTATTGAAAAAAATTTAAAAAACTGGAAATTTATTTTAAAAAAAACCGACATATAACTGTAAATGAATATTTAAAAATCGACTAAACCGACATAATCGTACCGTGCCGAACCGATTTTAAGTTTTTTTTAATAAAACCGTATGTTTTTATATAAATCTATAACTGTACCGATAATTATGGTAGATTTTTTATTTTATAAAAATAAACCGAAAAAATATTGAACCGTCAAATTGAAAAAAAAAAGATTTTGCAAAATATTTTTATTTTTTTTAAAACTAATGCATATGTAGTCCACTGCTTTAGGAGAGTTTTTTTTTCAGTTTTTTAATTTATTTATTTTTTTCAGTTTTTACAAAACAAATACTTTAAAAAAATTGAAAAGACTTAAAAATATATATTTTGCAAATTCCTTACTTTTTCTAGTTTTTACAGAATATATATTTTTCAGTTTTTAAAAGCATTTAAAAAAAAATCCAGTTGGGGTTATAATTGATCCATTTCGAATACCACAAGGTTATTTTTGGGCCTTTTCCCTAATGATTATTATTATTATTATAATAAAAGTGCTTTAATTTGAAGAGTAAATGTTTAATTATGCAATT